TGCTATTATCCTGTCCCTTTTACAAACGGAAAAGGAACCTGGGGCACAGAGGTGTACAGCACCTTGCACAAGGACACACAGCTAATACACGGCAGAGCCAGGGCGTGAACTCAAGCAGAAGAATAAAATAATCTGTATTTTTAGTCATATATTAGACTGCCTTCTTATACAGAAAAAAATGAGATTTAAAAATATATTACAAATAATGGAACAAGAAAAAGCCTCTCAAGGAACACTGCTCTTATTACTTTATTTTTATTTATTTATTTAAGACACGGTCTTGCTCTGTTGTCCAAGCTGGAGCGTAGTGACACAAACATGGCTCACTGCAGCCTCCGCCTCCTGGGTTTAAGCAATCCTCCTGCCTCAGTCTCCTGAGTAGCTGGGACCACAGGTACACACCACCATGACCAGCTGATTGTTATTTTTTGTAGAGACAATGTTTCACCATGTTGCCCAAGCTGGTCTCAAACTCCTAGGCTCAAATGATCCCCCCACCTTGGCCTCCCACAGTGCTGGATTACAGGTGCGAGCCATCACACCTGGCTTGTTCCTTAATTGGACTCTTGTCCTTTATTACCAATAGATTGGCTCAAGTCCTAGAAACACAGTCACCAGTGGGAGCCTATCCTGTCTGGTCCGGTCTTCTGATGAAGAAGGCAGAAAATCCCCATTTTCAAAACTGTACCTTTTTGCCATCTTTTCCCACCTTGAAAGTGAATACAAAGAGAAGATACAGTGTGTCATAGAAACTGTTCTCTTCCTGGCTGCAGTGTTTGGATTCAAGGAAGAGTGGCAGAACTGGAGTTCTAAGACTGTTGAGGTTGCTACCAAATCCTGTCCCACCCATAGGGTCAAAGGGATTCAGGTCAGTTCTCAGCCAAGCTTCTCATTTAGTCTGAACTGAAAGAAGCAGAGCAGCCAGAAACTCCACTTCTCCTGGCTGGAGCAGGCTGACCAGGGATACTGGACCAGGGTCCCTGACTCTGCAGGCTTTCTCCTCCCCTTCGCCATGCAGGAAGTCCTCGGGCCACACCAGAGCCTCACAAAACTGTCCAGAGGAAGCCAGTGGTCTGCACCCTTGGATGTCAGTGCACCCACACTGACCGTATGTTTATGATCAGGCATCCAGCTCAGACAAAGCTGAGCTCTGCGGCTTTAAACCCAAAACCAGTGCTCACTTCTACAAGGCCGGAGTGGGTCCCAGAGACGGACCTCTCCAGTCTTGACGAGTGAGTAACATACTAATCCAAAGGGACAGACCAAATCCCCAAAGTCCAAATTTCACCACCTCCCGACTATCGATCACATTCTTTCTCCCTAGAAATCTGAAAAACATCTACCAACCTTCTTATTAAAACAAGTCCAACTGCCTTAACTTCAGGATTATAGATTTGCTGATAAAATTGTTTGTATAAATGCAAAGTTCTATTACCATCTAATTACAATTTCTGCACAGATATATAATACTGTGTGTTTTGGAAGCTGAAATAGTATGTGTTTTGGAAGCCAAAAAAATTAAGCTTCAGGCTGGGAGCAGTGGCTCACGCCTGCAATCCCAGCACTTTGGAAGGCCGAGGCGGGCAGACCACAAGGTCAGGAGACCGAGACCATCCTGGCTAACACAGTGAAACCGCGTCTCTACTAAAAATACAAAAAAAATTAGCCAGGCGTGGTGGCGGGCGCCTGTAGTCCCAGCTACTCGGGAGGCTGAGGCAGGAGAATGGCATAAACCCGGGAGGCAGAGGTTCCAGTGAGCCTAGATTGAGCCACTGCACTCCAGCCTGGGCGACAGAGCGAGACTCTGTCTCAAAATAAATAAATAAATAAATAAGCTTCAATTACTTTTGTGCCTACCACAACAACAGGCAGAAACAGGAAAATTCTGTATAAAGAATTTTTTTTTAATTTTTTCCTTTTTTTTTTTTTTTTTTTTTTGGTGTTTTCTCACAGTTCCAGTCAACGTGAGAGGAACCAGGCAAAATGCAGGCTTAACATATATGGTCATCCCCGGGCTTTTTTACTATATAAAGGAGAAATTAATAAAAGAAGAAAAGAAATACCACACAGCATCTTCTTTCCCCACCACAATTTTTCAATTTTCTTTAGAGAAATGCCAGCCAATAACTAATCGGAACCATACCCTTTGTTATCCCAATGGGAAGAAGTATACGCATGGGTTTAAAGAACAAATGTTAATGAGAACTTTAAAAAAAATTAGCAATCTGGAACTTCGGTTTCCCTTCAGTGTAAAACAAAATTCCCTTCTCTAGATCTATTTTTATAGTTGGTGAAACAACGTGGACAGGGTCCATCAAGAAGACATGTTCACCCATCCAGTACCCTCAGCTGGCAGAACTCTGGCTCTTCACTTGTTCTGATGGTGAAATTAGCATCATTAGCTCACAGGCTTCTGAGCACCCTAACTTCAAATGAGACAAAAACTCAGTTACAGAAAAGGTATTTGTTCCACATCTCTTTGGTTTCAAGAGGGAAAATAATTCCTTTTTTTTTTTTTTTGGCTCATGCTGGGGTGCAATGGCACGAACTCGGCTCACCACAACCTCCACCTCCCGGGTTCAAGCGATTCTCCTGCCTCACCCTCCCTAGTAGCTGGGATTACAGGCAGGAGCCACCACGCCCGGCTAATTTTGTATTTTTGGTAGAGACGGGGTTTCTCCATGTTGGTCAGGCTGGTCTCAAACTCCCGACCTCAGGTGATCCACCCGCCTGGGTCTCCCAAAGTGCTGGGATAACAGGCGTGAGCCACCCAGCCCGGCAATAATTCCTTTTAAAGTCAGTACGTAGCTTTTGTAATTTCCAAGAGTATGTTTTCCATAAGAAGGACAGCTGCAGTCTTTTTACCTGGTATATATTCCTGAGAATAAGAATGTTTCTGGGGTCAGATCTTGAGTGGTTTGTTCATGACCAAGGGCAGAAACTGCTTCCTTGAAAACTGGACTGGATTTAGAGAATAAAGTACAGGATGTAAGTCAGAAAAACTCTGGGCAAAAAAATAAATGTTTAAGATGCTAACGCACCAGGGTTTGGGCATGTCCAGCACTCTGAACTGTATTTTCAAATGAGTCTGTCCTGTGTCATCCAGGTTCGGAGGAATCAGCAGGTCCAGGCTGGGGCCGCAGAATACTTTTTGTCACTCAAAGAGCCTGTCCAGGGTATAGAGAGCCACCCATGGCCCGTGTCTATCAAATATTCTCCTTTCTCGGAAAAAGCTCCAAGCATTTGCAAAACATCTGTTTGCCCCATATTTTTACTATCCAAAAAATGTATTTCCTCTTCAGTAAAAAACACAACAATAGGCTGTTAAGCCGGTAACATTTTACCATAATTCTATGTTTTCAAAAGCTAGAAATCATTTGTATTGCCGGATAAGGACATTATTTTAAGTAGACTTTAGTCTACAACAGAAACTTGCCATAACAATGAACATCTTTTTTGGTAAATCACTTTCCGAACATTATTTCTCCACGAACGTATCACAAAAACCACCACCAAGGAAAACAAAGGATTCTTGTATTTTGAATCAAAAAGTACTGGCCATGCATATTCATACTATATCAAGCATGTCAATCAAAATGGGCAAAATAACCTAAAAAGCGGTAAAAATGCCAACTCTTGCCTCTGAGTGGTTAGTGAACCTATGTTTTCCCAACGTTAAATTTACAAACTGCATCGCATCAACTGTATTTCATACTTTAAATCCCAAATCTCTACCTCACACTGCTTTGGGATGGATGATTTACTCAAGACATTTGGGGTCACAGTATAAGCCTTTTGCTCCCACCAAACCTAAATCATGCTTCTCAACAAGATTCTGTACATATAAAAGGAACACGTGGCACGCCTCGCCATGCTCCCCAGAGGAAACTAAACGCCCCCAGAATAGCCCTTCTGTCCACTCCAGAAGCAGGCTTTCCTCAAAAAGGGAAGGGGGCTGGATTCACACGTTGCATCAGATCCACTCACGAAGCAACAGCGCTCCAAAACTTTTTCTGACTCCATTCATTAGAAAATGTCCTGGATGTGCCGTATTATAAGAGACAGACATCCTCACCCAAGGGACACACTCAGAAACCCAAACTCATCTCGACAGCAAACTGGGAGGCACGAGAAGTTGACAGCAAAGTATCCATTTCCCCAAGTCCTCCTTCCAGTCAATGTGCATCGACGGGGTCAGCTCAGCCCTCAATTCGAAGATCGCCGGGACCACAGGGGCCACCACGCAGCTGAGCTCTGCACGGCCCGGGCTGTTCCCGCGCCCGGGAGGCGTCTGGGGAGGAGGCTGGACCACCAGACAATGCAGAGCTCCCCGGTGGCCGCGAACTCGGCCTGGGGCGGGGGAGACGGAGCCGTGAGCGCCCTTCTTGGCCACAGCCACGGCCACGGTCACCGGCCGCCTCTCCTGACCTGGGCCTCGGCCCCCAGGTCCCCGGTCCCCGGGGAAAGCAGGTTTCTCCCGGAAAGAAAGGAAACGTGCTGGTTTGGGCACCACAGGCGGGGGGCGCGCGCCCTCCCCTCCCCTCCCCACTGTGGGAATCCACGGGGGTCGGCGGCGGAAGCAGGAAGGGGCCCCTCCCGGCGCCTCCGCTCGAGGGTGAAGGGGTCGCAGCCGCCCCCACCCGAGGCTCCCGGCGCGTAAGGACGGAGGGGCTCGAGCCGGGGTCCCAGGGGCCGAGGCGGGTCCAACTTTCCAGGCCGGGCGCAGCGCAGCACCCGAGCCAGAGAGAGGTCCTGGGATGGGGGTGCGGGCTCAGCGCGGAGCGGGAGGGGCAGAGGAGGGGACGGCGGGGTGGAGGGGGGGGCAGTGGGGTGGGGGGTGGGGAGAGGACAGTGGGTTGGGGGACGGGGGTGCAGGAGTCAGTGGGGCGGGGGGCGGGCAGGGGGACAACGGGTTTGGGGGAGGGCAGGGTAAGGGGGTGGGGGGGGCAGGGGTAAGGGGGTGTGGGCGGGCAGGGGCCGGCGACGCCCGCGCCGCTCACCTTCCTGTGCTTCTCCTTGTAGGGCAGCGCCAGCCACGGCATGTCCCGCACGAAGTCCTGCCACTGCCGCTGGTCCTGGTCCGAGGACACGAAGACGATCTCCAGGCGCCGCCGCGGCTCGGGCTCCGCCGCCGCCCCGGCCCCCGCCCCCGGCCCCGGCCCGGCCGCCGCGTCCCCCCGCAGGCGCCCGTAGAAGGCGGCCAGGCTGGCGCTGAGCTGCGCGCAGGGGGCGCTGAGGCTGCAGCCGAAGTAGAGACCCAGCAGCGAGATGCCGCGGGCGCCCAGCGAGTGCACGTCCACCTCCTCGCCGCCGCCCGTCACCAGCTTCTCGCCGAGCAGCTCCTCCAAGAAGCCCGACATCCTGGCCCACCGCAGGGCGGTCGGGCGGCTGCGACCCCGCTCCACGGTCCGCGCGGAGGCAGCAGTCGGCGGCGGCGGCGGCGGCGAGCGCTGGGGGAGCGGAGCCCCGCCCACCAGGGCCGCCCACGCCACGCCCCCTCCGCCCGCCCGCGCCACGCCCCCTCAGAGGCCCTCGTCCCGCCCCCTCCGCCCGCTCTCGCCACGCCCCCTCCGCCCGCTCTCGCCACGCCCCCTCCGCCCGCTCTCGCCACGCCCCCTCCGCCCGCTCTCGCCACGCCCCTCCACGCTCGCCACGCCCCCTTTGCGGCCGGCCGGGCCCGAGCTCTCTGCCCAGGCGGGGTCCGCAGCTGCCGGCCGCGGTGTGCGGGGTCACCGCTTGGGTGAGAAGCCGGACCCGAAACGCTGCACTCTCCCTGGAAAGCCCGGAGCTGAAGTGAAAAAAGGAGAAGGACCCGCTGAGCCAGCGCTTTCCCGGGCTGCAGCCCGGCCCGCATTTTCTCTCCACTCCCGGATTCTAAATTCCCTCCAGACCTTCTCCAGGGATCCCGCCCCCTCCCCGCGGAGCTCCTCACCCCCTTCCTGTTCCTCCCGGGCCTTTCCCCACTCCTCTCCCTGCACGAAGCCTGACCCTTAGGCCGCTCCGGGCCCCACTGACCCTAAGATGCTTCTAGAACCCGCCGTGCTCACTGCATCAGGCCGGGCCTGGCTGGACACTGACTCTTCTGTGTGTTTCAAGCTGTTCTAAAGGGGCCAAGGACGCTTCTGGTGGGGTCCGGTTAGGGTGCCAGGTCGCAGTGTGGGATTTCCGTCCCAGGGATCGCCAGGGCCACTGCCCCCAGCGAATCTGTCTTCCAGCCCCACAAATGGATGCAGAGGACGCCACGGGGCCTCCAGACCCACGCTGGCCGCGCTCCTGAATCCGCTCCATCCTTATGGCAAGTCTATGGATAGTTGAGAACATTTCGAGAGATTTTTTTCCCCCTGCCAGCTGGCAGGATACTCCCCGATGCTTAGGGAGAAACTGGATTAAACAGGTGGTCTGGGCCGGGCGCGGTGTAATCCCAGCACTTTGGGAGGCCAAGGTGGGTGGATCACAAGGTCAGGAGTTCGAGACTAGCCTGGCCAATATGGTGAAATCCCCGCCTCTACTAAAAATACAAAAAATAGCCGGGCGTGGTGGCGCACACCTGTAATCCCAGCTACTCGGGAGGCTGAGGCAGGAGAATCGCTTGAACCCGGGAGGCGGAGGCCGCAGTAAGCTGAGATGGCGCCACTGCACTCCAGCCTGGAGGACAGATGGAGACTCCGTCTCAAAACAAAGCAAAACAAAACAAACAAACAAAAAACAGGTGGTCCGTGGCGAGTCCTCGGGCCACCCAGCGCCTCCCCCAACCCAATCCACAGGCGAACGAAGCAGGTGCAGATCCGAGCCCATGCACAATAACAGGCCGCCAGTGTGGATCAGCTACTAACGACTCAGCGAAAGCAAAATAATAAAAGCTGAAAACCCGCCCCTCAGAGCTTCCGCGCTTTGGAGAGTATTTCCCGGGTATCCATCGCCACCTAATGGAAAGAGTGAAAAATGAGGCCGAACAAACTCCATCTGTGAAGACACTGCCGGGACACCAGGCACAATGCTTTTATTTTACAGCAGCTTTCCACATATACAAATGACAGGACGCTTTGCGGGAGCTAATTTAAACCTCAGAATATAACTTCAAGCTTTTGGCACAAAACATATGCGTTCACATCGAAGGTTCTCCGTTTTTCTAGGGTAGAAGAAGGAATGGTGCAGGGTTTCAGCTCGGTGAAATGTTACCATATAAAACAGGTGGGAGAGGTGCAGATGAGAGCAGAAAGTGGATTGGTGTCTCTACCAGTTATATCCACTTCCTTAGTCACCTGATAGTATTGCTCATGACACAGGTAAGATCTTAGATGGAGGACCGCCTTCCAGCACGCTAGAATCCTACTGTAAAGTCGAACTCCACCTTAATTCTTAGGAGACTGTCATGCTGAAAGTACGTGCCACTCTAGGGACAATATTATTCTAAAACACACACAGCATCACTTTTTAGTGAAATCTTTTTTTTTTTTTTTTTTTGAGACAGAGTCTTACTCTGTTGCCCAGGCTGGAGTGCAGTGGCACGATCTCAGCTTACTGCAACCTCCACCTACCGGATTCAAGTGATTCTCCTGCCTCAGCCTCCCAAGTAGCTGGGATTACAGGCATGCACCACCTCCCAAGTAGCTCTGATTACTGGCGTGCACCGACTAATTTTTTGTATTTTTAATAGAGACAGGGTTTTCACCATATTGGCCAGGCTGGTCTCAAACTCCTGGCCTGAAGTGATCCGCCCGCCTCAGCCTCCCAAAGTTCTGGGATTACAGGCATAAGCCACCGCCCAGCCTTGGTGAAAACATTTAAAGCTACTCGTATCATATATATTAAGTTATTAGGCCGGGCATGGTGGCTCACGCCTGTAATCCCAGCACTCTGGGAGGCCGAGGTGGGCAGATCACGAGGTCAGGAGATCGAGACCATCCTGGCTAACACGGTGAAACCCTGTCTCTACTAAAAATACAAAAAATTAGCCGGGCGTGGTAGCGGGCGCCTGTAGTCCCAGCTACTCAGGAAGCTGAGGCAGGAGAATGGCGTGAACCCAGGAGGTGGAGTTTGCACTGAGCGGAAATCACGCCACTGCACTCCAGCTGGGAAACGGAGCAAGACTCCATCTAACATATATATGTTATATATATATTTATATATTTGTTATATATTTATATATATTTGTATATATTTATATTTATATTTTTTATATATTTATATATTTTTAATATATTTATATATATATATAAAGTTACTAGACATCATTTAAAATCCTGTACATGGTTACAGTGTTTTATCATCTTATCCAAATCCTATCTGAAAAGCCTATGCATTGGGTACATGGGTTAGGCACTATTGAAAGAGTGTTAGAGTCCTACACTCCGACACTTTCAAAATTATGAAAACTAAAGAAATATAAAAGGGTTATTAGCATTTACATGCCATGGCAGCCAAAGGGCAAGGTATTTGGTACGGAAGCCGGTGAAGAGGGAATTTGGAGGACTGCAAATATTGCAACTATTAGAGTATTAACTTTGGTATACTTGGTGCAAGTCTGATATAAAGAGGAGGTTTGTTCCGTTTTTTACTTTTCTTATTTTACAGGAAAGCACTTTCCACTGGACTGTGTCCAAACCAGCATCTGGCACCTGGGGAAGGGAGGGTTCAAACACACTGCACATGAAATATAAATAAAAGTTAGAGACTTGTGGATGCGGCAGGCCTTTGTTAGAAGCCAACTATCACAGCTGCCTTTTAAAGGGGTGTGGAAAGAGGGGATTTGCAATGGAAACGATCCCAGAATCATAATTGTAGTGGGTGTTACAAGAAGCCCAAGGAGAGTCATTTGGCATCCTATGAAGAATTAGCCAGTGTGCTCTCGGTTACAGAAATCTCTCTCTGTGTATGTGGTTCACTTAAGGAGAATGTCCCCACTGGTGTTTAGCTAGCGATGTCACATGAATTGACTTGGCTATTCTGAAAATGATTGTTTTAAAATATGTATAAATGAGCCTCAACATGTATCGCACTCTGCAGAACATATTACAGAGTTTTCTCTTCAGAAATTGCATTAGAAGGCACAGGAAGTCACACAAAATACACACAGCACAAATATATACTTGTCACTTTTAAGATGCATAAATCACAGTCTTTGCTCTTTAGAAACAGTAGCACACGTGATGTAGGCCGGGTGCAGTGGCTCACACCTGTAATCCCAGCACTTTGGGAGGCCGGGGGGGGGGGTGGATCACCTGAGGTCGGGAGTTCGAGACCAGCCTGAGCAACATGGCGAAACCCCATCTCTACTAAAAATAAAAAAATTAGCTGGGTATGGTTGCATGCACCCATGGTCCCAGCTACTCAGGAGGCTGAGGTGGGAGGATCACCTAAGCCCGGGAGGTCAAGGCTTTCAGTGAGCTGTGATTGTGTCACTGTACTCCAGATTGGGTGACAGAGTAAGACCCTGTCTCAAAAAAAAAAAAAAAAAAAGAAAAATTAGCTGGCATGGTGGCATATGCCTGTAGTCCTAGCTACTCAGGAGGCTGAGGTGGGAGAATCGATTGAGCCCAGGAGGTTGAGGCTGCAGTGAGCCGTGATTGTGCCACTTCACTCCAGCTTGGGCGACAGAGTAAGACCCTGTTTTTTTAAAAAAATACTACTACTAATAATAATAATTGGCCAGGCGTGGTGGCTCACGCCTGGAATCCCAGCACTTTGGGAGGCTGAGGCGAGTGGATCACAAGGTCAGGAGATTGAGACCATCCTGGCTAACACGGTGAAACCCCGTCTCTACTAAAAATACAAAAAACCAGGCATGGTAGTGGGCGCCTGTAGTCCCAGCTACTTGGGAGGCTGAGGCAGGAGAATGGCGTGAACCCGGGAGGCGGAGCTTGCAGTGAGCTGAGCTATTCTCCTGCCTCAGCCTCATGAGTAGCTGGGACTACAGGTGCCCGCCACCACGCCCAGCTAATTTTTTGTATTTTTAGTACAGACGGGGTTTCACCATGTTGGCCAGGCTAGTCTCAAACTCCTGACCTCAGGTGATCCACTCGCCTAAGCCTCCCAAAGTGCTGGGATTCCAGGCGTGAGCCACCACGCCCGGCCTGAGATACCCGTTTTATTGCTATAGTCTGGAACCAAACTTGCAATGTCTTGAGGTATGCCTGTATATAAACACACAGAAACGTATTCATAACCAAACAAGTAGGAAATATTCATGAACATTCTAGCCCGTGTTTTTGTAACTGGCCATGGGTTGTGGCTGGTATTTAAAATGACCTTTCACTATCCATTCTGTATTCCCTTTGCTTTCAGAAAGCACCTCAGCTGGCTGTGGGTCTTTTCCTGGTGGGTGACCCAAACCTTCATTCCCGAAAGGTCTCGGCCCTTGGTAGTCCTGCCTGGATTGAATCATTGTGGTTTTTCCATTACCCTAAATCACAGACCATGGTCTACTAGGACACCCTGAGGGGCCTCCTCTATTCCAGACGTAT